AAAACTCTTATAACTCTTGAACGGAACAAGCTAGAAAGGTCGGCCTTGTGTAGATCGAAAGAGAACAATTTTCTCTATCGTATGGTTACTTTCGGATTCAAAATTGATCGGAAAATGTGCCAAATATGTGATTGTGAAAATGTCCAACGAGCACTCACTTGATTGGTGGATTGCCGACCAATCAAATTTTGAGTCATATCTATGTGCCCCGATGTTCTCTTTCAAATGGTGAAAATCGCAAGTCTCTACCACTTTCCTTTCAAAAGTTATAAGAATTCTGTCCAAGCGACTTATTTTCAAAAATGAATATTAAATTCTTGAACTTACTTGCGATAAATCCAATTGATCAAGATTATAAAGTAATCCACATGTTACTTGTTGAACAGACATCTCATTTGTAGTTTTATTTATTTTTTGAATAATATCAAAAAGATTTTGTTCATTTTGTTTTAAAAGATTTTTAATATTTTCATTAAATGATAATGACCATAGAATACTCAATGTAATCATTGTACATTCACAATAAATAATATTATCGTATAGATTTTTAATTTCATAATTAATAACAACATTTGTAAATAAATTTAAATATTGTTGACAAATCAATTCTTGTATATAATCATATTTTACAATATGTATTAAACTTTTAAAAAACATACTCATTGGTATTCGATTATAATGATATGAATGAATATTTTGTAATGACATTTGAATATAATTTAAACATGTAAGAAATAATTTTTCTGATAAATCATTATGATTTATTGTTGAACTTATTAAAATAAGTAAAAATAATTGTGACATTATTTCAATACGACGATTTCCACATGTTTGAGCTTTTTCAATTAAATTTTCTAATTTTTTTATATAATTTTCATCTGTTTGAATTAAATATTGAATTAATAAATGATTATCAAAACAATATATAATTAAATAACATATTATTGAATCAATTAATATTGTTTCATATGTTGACCAATTAATACATATATTCATATAAATATTTTTATTAAGAATTAATGAAAATAAATTAATTAATAATTGTCGATTATTATCATTATCAATAATTAATGTATAATTAATAAGAAATGTTATAATACCTGTTAAACAAGATAAATTAATTTGATTTTGTATTAAAAAATTATTTATAAAAATAATATAATTTGATAAATATAATTCTAATATAATTTTTGCATTATCACATTCATTTTCATCACAATTAACATGTATACCCATTGCCATTGTACATATACCTAAAAAAAATCGATGATGTATTGTTATAATCATTGTTTGATTATTTTCTATAGATAATATACATTGTTGATATTCATTTGAATTTAAACATCGAATTATTTGATGATTAAAATAAAGAAATTTTTCATCTAATGTTGAATCAATATAACTATGTTCAAAAAACATATAAGATTCATACCATGATATAATCATTTCAATAAAATCTAATTCATTTTTATTCATATTTGGTAAAATTTTCATTAAAATATCAAATAATTCTTTATTATTATCGAATAATAATTCACGTACACGTTTATGATGTTCAAGGTTATTTTTTGTATGTTCACTATTTTGATCAATACTATCAATATCATCATTATCATTTTGTAATGTTAATGTCAAACGTCGATTAAATTTACCAACAATAGTTAAATAATTTAATTGTTCAACAATTAATGTACGTTGTTGATGATACCATTGTTTGAATAAATGTGCAGCAACGTATTCAAACATATCAAATACTTGTGGTTGTCGATTGATAATCATATTAAGAAAAGTATTATCTGATGTTACTGCTAGACATGATTCCAAACATGTACTAAGTCTTTGTAATAATGTTCGATCATAAAACGTTAACGAATACCATCCTTCACTATTTCGTTCAATTGTGTCCAATTCTTGGTCAAGAGTAGCTTGCATCTTTTGTTAAGTGTCTCTTTTGTATAAGGACATATCGACAAGCGTACATGTTTCTTATCAAAGCAAGGTAAGATCAGATTTATCTCTGTTCTTTCTTTACAATACGCTTACATCATTTACTAACATGTTATTATTGTTATTTTTTTTTTGTCTTTTTATTTGTACGATTTAAAATATTTCAAAGAAGAAAAAGAATGAACTAGTTATAGAGACATAATATGATAAATTTTATAAGAAAAAGAAAAAAAAAATGTGTAAGTGTGCATGATCTAATCGAAAAAAGAAAACGATTGTTTTGTTGTGGTAGTAAAAAACAGAAAAAAAAAGCAACGGTTGTTCTGCTGCCGCTGTTGCGCACATACAAATTCACAGAAAGGTGATAGAGGTATAATAGACAAAAGAGGAAAACACATGTGAGAAAAAAAAATGCTTGTTGCTGTTGCTGTCACCACCACCAAAATAAAATAATTTCGTTGCTTAATAACCCGACAATTCGTTCAATGTCATGTCAAGTTCGTCACTGACATTCTTGTATTTCTCTTTTTCGGCAAGTAATTCGTCTGTAAAAGAACAAAATTTTTCAATATTTTCTTTTATCAAAAGAACGAAAAAAACAACAACAACAACAACAACAACAACAAAATGATCTTCATTCAAAAATAATAAAGCAAATATTTCGCTTACGATTAAAAGGAATTGATCAATAAAATGCATACATACAAAATTATAATAATAATAATAATAATAATAATGGTAATGATAAGACGAAGAAATAAAAATTGAAATTTCACAACACACACAACAACAACAAACAAACAAATGAATCAAAGTACATTCTGCAGATCATTGATCATAGAATCCATTTCACGTTGCAAACTTTTGCTGCGTACATTCTCGTTTGTTATTTCGCCTGAAATACACGCACACAAATGCAGGATAGAATAAGGGAATAATCATACTAAATTTGGTTAGAACATGCAGCAGTGTTAGTAATATATATATACATATGAAATTTATTTATTTATTTTTTCAATGACATATCTTTATATCCTTTTCAAAAGATAAGCATTAACAAATAGACTCTTTTATCAAAAGATTTGTGAAAATTACTATTCGATTTTTCTCATGTGAACTAGTTTATATGAAACTACAACAAGTTCATAATGCAATTGAATTACACAATAATTTAAAGAATCTACTACTATTACTGAAAACTGAATTATTCTATAATTCATTTGTGTCATCTAGTGACTACAACACATCTATTCAGTGTCAAATAAAGCTAGAGTGTATTATCTATAGAAAATATCACGCACAGTTTTAATATCGAAATATGTATCGATTAGTAGTGTGTAGCATCTAGGATGAAGTGTTCATTCAAATCATAGGAAATTTTCTATGCAAATAATACTTAAGGATAGAAACAAATGCTTTATAGTGTATGCTCTATTGATTAAGGAGGTTCCTTTCCATGATTTCTGAAGAATGTCTCTAAAGACAAAAAAAATTTCATTTTCACATATGGAAGGGACTTAAGCAGTTGCTAATTATTATATGTCATATTCGACATCATGGGATCTTTTTTTTTAGCAAGTCTACACAATACATAACAACGTTGACGATAAAATTCTTTCATTTTCAACATCATTGATAGAGACTGACTATTATCATTGTTCAAACAAAACGATCGATAATGTTATCATAAATAATTTTTTTCTTTTTAATGAAATATTACGCCATTTTACCCTACAGGCATAGATCTCTCAAAGGTATTTTTTTTATCTCTATCTAACAAGAAAAATTCATTTGAAAATTATACCTTTCAATTGATCTGTTTTTCTCTGTAAGACAAGCATTGTACGGGTGGCATGCTCAGCTTTGTTTTCCGTCTAGATATACATATTATATATATACACACACAACTAATATACATGCAGCATGCAAATATTAAATATAAAATATAAAATAATAAACAAAAAAAGAAAATAATAAAGAATAACAAAAACCCATGCAAATGGAGGAGGCTGAATGTGCATTGAATCTTTTTTATTATTGTGATATTACCTTCGAGACGATCAACCTCCTTTTGTAATTTGGCCATTGTACGTTCAGCAAGATCAGCACGTTGTTCAGCCTATACTCGTATGATTGAGATTAATATATATTTTGTTATACCATTTATTTAATTCAATTCTCATTATTTTTCAAAAAAAATTAAAAAAAGAAAAAAACGAAGAATCGAAACTTACATCTTTAAGGCGTGTAGCTAAATCACGAATTTGTTCTTCATAACTTTCTTCACGTTGTATAGCCTAAAATATATAATAAAACAATATTATTAATCATTATTATTCTATTCCATATGAAGTAAAGGTTGGGATTTTCAAACAATTTTATATAACACTCTTCTATGAACTACCTCTTGTTCAGAAACTTCAAGTGATTTCATGTTATTACCAACAACTTTGAGTTCTTCTTCAAGTTCAAGAGTTTTTCTAAAAAATTTTAAACATATGTTTTTACCTTAGTTAAAAAAACTTCTTTCGAACGTAATTCATAATGTAAATGTTTCACATCCTGTTCATATTGAGCAATTTTACTATAAGGGAGAAAAAAAACAGCAAACACATGCAGGACAAAAATTTAATCATGCTGCATACTCTTCAAATCTTTGTGCACGATCATCAAGTCTTTCCAATTCACCTTCACGTACTTTCAATTTACGTGCTACCTAAAATTAAAATGATATATACACATCAAACCTCATGCATAAAAAACAAAAAATGAAGAGCAAGTTAGTAAAATCAGAAAAATGAACAAATTCATCGTGCAAATGAAAGAATAAAAATAAAGAAAAGAAAAGAAAAGAAACACGAATGCATCTTACGCTTCGGCGGCTTCAGCACGATCTTCAGCACGTTCCAAATCGACTTCCATAATAGCAATACGACGAGCAACCTGGACTCATATTTAAAATGACTCAGTTTTTACTTTTTATCTCTTAGTGTTTTGTTTTTTTTTTATTTTATATTCAAATGATACTCATTCAATGAATTATTTATTTTTTTTCTAATCACCTCATCATATTTTCGATCGGACTCCTCAGCTATAAGCTGTGCTTCGGCCAATTGCTGTTCAAGTGTAGCAATACGTTCATCATCCTGGTATGTACGTTGTTCGAGACCTTTGCGTCCACTGGAGATTGAAAGAAGAAAGAAGAAATAGATAAATATTAAAAAAAAAAAAACAAAAAAGTTAATAATCAATAGATAACTTAAATCCCATTCCCCAACTCACTACTTCGCTAACAAAGATAATCAAATAGTGCAGTGTTAGTAGAAAAAAAAAATTAAAGCAAAATTAGCATTTTTAATATTTGATATTTTCTACCTCTTCATATTTTCTCTCATTCATATGACCCAATTGTTTTGCCTCTTTGAATAGCTGTTCAAGTGTATCATATCTGTTACCAAAACCAGATACTTTGCCATCAAGAATAAGACGTTTTCTAAAAAATTTGTTTTTGTGTGTGTGTATGTTTTCTTTTTTTACCTTGGGGATTTTCTCAATGCTAATGAAGAAGAAGAACGTATCTTTATTATTTAGTATGATTACTTACCGTTCACTTTCATCAGCGGCTTTTGAAGCTTCTTCAAGTTTTTGTGTAGCTTGTGTAAGACGTTCTTCAGTACGTTCAAGATCTTCTTCAACTAATTGTATACGACGTTGAAGACCACCTACTTCACCTTCAGCCTAAAATATTTATTTAAAAAAAAAAAATAGATTTTTCTTTTTTTCTTAATAAACTAGAATCACACTTGTTCTCGTGCATGTTTTTCACGTTCACGTTCAATCTGATATGCATGCAATTCATCTTGAGATTTCGCCAACTCATCTTTCATTTGTTGCATACGTTTTCGAATTGTATCAATAACAGAACTACCTGATTCATTCATGATTGAAGAACTAGAATTTTGTTGTGGCGTACGATTTAATGTTCGTAAAATTCCATTATTTAAATTTGCAGACATTTTATTTTTATCTATATTGTATAGTGTGGTCAATAGAACACTATTCTACTTTGAACAACCATGATTCATGTTGTGAATGCCTCCTTATCGATGAGTTGAATAGATGTCATCGGAATTAGTTACCTCTCTTGACAAAAAAGAACCATGAATGAAGAATTGTATGATGTTCATTTATTAGGTATATATATATAGATTTAAAAATATTGTGATTGGACATAGGCGCCACCTAGGTATACCTAATATATGCAATTTATACAGCTGCTGTTTTACTTTCTGCAATATTTCTTTGTGATTACACGTAAAGAACTAGTCTATCTTGAGGGTATTTCATTAGATTGTTGTTGAAAGCTTAACATATATTATTTAATGTTCTCGGCGATGTAGCATATATACACATATATAAAGAGGAATATATTCTCAATAGATATTTGAATAAATAGATAGAAGTGAAAACGAACTTAGACAATTTACAGTTTAATTAGTAATGAATAATGTAAAACTAATGAAGAAGACTTACATCAGTAGCTGCCTTCTCTTTGGCTTCAAGTTTAGCATTGGCTTCGGCTAATTGTTCTTGAACAGCATCAAGTTCTGCTTCGACCTGTTGAATCTTTTTCTGTAAACCATTGCTTTCTTCCTCAGACTATAAATGAATAAAAATTTTTCTTATCAAAATTGAATAATGAAAAAAGAAAACACAAAACATACTCCTTTGAGTTTTTCTTCTAAATCCTTTTGAGCTTGTTCGGCTTGATCGGCACGATCGGCAGCATTCTCTTTTTCAAGTTTCATAGATTGCATTTTCTTTTTGATGGAATCCATCGTGGCTGTTGTATTTGCATTTGATGACATGATGACCGGTTTTAATTTAAAATTTGTTCAAGAAAGAAAGCGCAACAGATCTTAAAAAGAAAAAAACCAATATTCAAGGACAGTCCTAGATAAAAGTTCGGCAAAAGATAACTGAATAATATTGATAAGAAAAAAAATTATTCTATGGCAAATACGGAAACAATTGTGTCTACGACATATAAAGAACTTAGAGGAAAAATGCGCGCCTTGGTTGAAGATAAAAAATAACAGCAATAACAAATTCTCAATATATATGGTATGCATAAGTACTCTCTTATTGTTGGATGCATTTACGGGCTACTCTTGTTCCATACGGGTGGTAATGATAGTGAAAGATAAAGAGAAAAAATCGTGGTTTATTAGTTACGTATATATATATATTTGGATGCGTTTGTGGAAACATATAGATTTAGACTCTTTTTCTTTTCTCTATGTTTATTCGTCATCAGTATTCTAGCTAACGATGGACGTATATGTAAGTTGTACGATACTATTTTTTCTTTATTGGATTGTGTTATTTTTTCCTTTTTTTTTCTTCTTTTCTGTTTGATATTGGACAAAGAATGATTGTAGTAGGACGGATAGGTTCTGAAACAATATTTACATCTTAGAACAACGAGAGCAAAAGAATGTTGTTTAACGAGGCTAACATTTTCCTGGTTAATGTTCTTCTATGCTTAGGTATGATTGGAAAAAAGCATATTGGTATTGGTAGTTATAGCAGCATCGGAGAAGAAAAGAAAAAATATGAAGAAACAATTTATGTATACGTGATTACCATCGGGTATGAAGAAGAAGAAAAAAAAAGTATAGTCTTCTGTTTCTTACGACTATTCTTGCCTTAGTTCTCTACATATGTCCACATATTGTTCTACGACATTAATTCAGTCTAAATGAGAAAAGCGCAGATATATCTTCAATCATTAAATATATTAATATAAAAAATAAAAAAACAAAACTAAGGAAAACTAAAAATAACAGTTTTTGTCTTATTGATAACTATATAAGTTATAAACAATCGGAGAAAATATTCGTTGTACAATTGAATTAACCAATATAATATAGAAATTATAGATAAGAAAGTATTATATTGATAAGTGGAAGAATTCAATAATAAAAATTTCCTGTTTGATAATTATAACTAAATAACGGATAATGTTTCTCCTTGAATAATACTAAAAATTAGATTTATAATTATTTATTATGATAATGATGATGATCGTGATTGTGTATATTAATAATTATAATTCGGTCACCGTAAAAAAAACCTTGCCACATTTTCACATATGTTAATCAGTAATTTTCTTTGTCTTTTATCTCGTAACGTTAATGATAATTAAAGCATTCTTTCCAATGTATCATCATATGGTAAATTTTGTCGAATAAAATTTTTTCCTTTTGATAGAATAGAAAATATAATAAAATATTTTATCAATAGTGCAAAGTTAAATATTTACCGTTTCGAGTCGTTTTATCATCTTTTAAATATTTAATTACCAATATTATGAGTACAATATATAATTCCAAGAAAAAATAAAAGAAATTTTTCGTTCCACATTATAATTTAATATAAGTAGAATATCTTCCATATTGCGCTGAGATAATATTGATATACTTCATTATAAAAACAAACCATTGGTTTCTACCAGAAACTTTTGTGATGTCAACATCACTTGTTTAAGTAACTCAACCTCACGTAACGGCTTCTTCTCCTGTCATATGAGATTGAGTTTGATAATGTAATTTACCATTGTTTATCTTGAATGTAATGTACGTATGAAGTTCAAGGTAACGAATAACATAAACAATTGAAAATTGTATTTGATGTCAGAGGTTTTTTTTTCATCTCAACGAACATGAGAAAAATTATATAACCCATAATAATTATTGTGATAAAGAGTCAGTAATAGTCGAGTCGAAAAAAATAACAGTTATCAACTATGTAGGTATATATTTGACGTTTTTGTTCTATTAGCCAAACAATGATGAATAATTCGAAATTGTTACGCATGAACTGGAATAATTATATGTGATATTATTTTCTTTTAGATTATTGACGATAATAATTGAGTCAGCAATGATATACTACTTTCTGAAAACGTTTTCTTGGAATATAAGTTTAATAAAGTATAGAATTGAAGTATTATAAGGCATCGAGAATCTATATTGTATATAAAATTATATAGCATAGAGAGACAAAATTATATCCACGGATTGGAATAATTAATATTGTTTCTATTCGAGTAAAATCATTAAATTTCATAATGTTAAAACTTATCCTTACAGAATCATATCAATACAAAAGGATAATATGTTGATTCTAGTCAAGTAAATAACTTTATGGAACTCTAAAAGTTTTATATTAATCAAAGACGAATTCAATTCTTAATCCAACATAGTGAAAATTTTTATTTAATTGGGAAAAAAACAGATGTGAAGTACTATATTCAATTAAATATTTTCAATGGCGATATCGGATAATTAAAATGTGATCATAAACAATTGTAATCGAATCATTCTAAAACTTAATTTGACCGAAGTGTTTAGATAATGAAATTCAAAACATTAAGTTTTAAGTGTTGAAATGCTAGTCCATGTAATATGTCTTCGATTCATAAACATTGATAAAATTTATTTTTAAGAGATGATACAAAAGTTCTTTGTTAACTTGGTTTTTTAATATGATGTGACATTAGCTGGTCGGGAAGACTCAATAGTTTTCTTGTTAGAAACAGCAAAGTCTTTTAAACCAGGTATAAGAAATGCATTTAATCGATTTGCCTTGAACTCGACTTTCGATATTTTTAGACATATTATGTGTGAATATGACCAACTCAACGCGTGTTCGATTGTTGGAAAGAATCTTATATATCGAAATCACTAATTAGTTGTGATCGTTATTGACAAGCAAAATGCCGATATCTTGAAAATTTTATTTTCCCTTGTTTACAAAGCTTCATTGTAGCGCTACAAAATCTAATAAAAGACAGCAAATAAGACGAACTGCGTCACTGGATGGATGTTTTATTCTAAACTCGATAAGCGTACAAAGAACTTTTTCAATCGAACATGTTCTTAAAACTTTTCAGCCTTCAGTAAGTATTTCGAACCAAATATCTCTATTACAACGTTTTGTAATAGAGACTTTGCTCTTTCTAACAAGAAAACTATCAAGTCTTGACGGTGAGTTGTTATCACGCTATACTGAAAATAAGACTAATGCTAAACTACTATACCATCGATTAATTTTGTACTAATCTTCAACTTTAAATGAATTCAAATATAATTGTTCTGTTGAAACTTATATCATGTAAACTAATAAATTAAACAATCAAAAACTAAGCTGTCGATATTATATTGAAGATATTATTTTCATGTTAGCTTAACATTTCATCTCTAATATCATATTTCTAATTAGTTTTCGTTTGGAAAATTATTCTGATTTAGTTTCTTTTTAAAGTTTTATGTCGCATACTAGTTGTTTATAACTTATTCTTCATTGACTAAAAGTAAGCGATATCTAATAATTTGAAAAATCAAATTCGTCTCTAAGAACAACAAAAAATTATTGATCGGTTAAAACCACTTAAAGTATTGAACTAATGATTATGATAGAAATGATATATAGAGCTCTGAATTAATAAATGAAGAAACATTTTTCTCTTATTACTCATAGACTAATCTTTATTATGTCTTTGCTGTAGATTTGTAGTTATATGAAATTGATTGATAGTGGACATTGATAGAACTGTAACATATGTTAGAACAATTGTTTCTCCTATACAAATAATAACTGATGTATTGTACAGAGAATTGAAGAACCATAAGAAATAATCAATTTGATCAAATGAAGAAAATTACAAACAAACCCTATAGATCCTGTTTTTCGAATGTAGAACTAAACAACAATACAACTTACTTTCAGCTTTAATCAAAGCCATGATTTAGTTTGATTTTAGGCACTCATCATGAGTCGTCATATTTATATACATAAACAGATAGATAATGATTTAGAAAATTGATTCTAGTTTTCGAAAAATCCAAAACAATGAGATTCGAGTTATGATTGAAATAAATGATTTTCGTTTTCGAATTATAACTGACGATGAATCGTACAGTTATTATTATAAATCTAAACGAAAACAAGA